CTCGTCAGCCACAATCCCAGAAATATACAAAGTTCAATCCTAGATCAACTCTCGCGCTCACTACAACGAGTTTCTGTAATATAACAATCACTAGAAAATATTTTAAGCCAGTGGTTCAGGCAAACGCACGATACATTTTAAATGATCCTTCGGGGCAGTCACACAAAGCAAAGCAAAGCGTATTAATATTCCAAACAGAGTAATAATACGCCAGTCTTCGGACCGGTTATCGTTTGGTAACCTAACCCAACTTAACCACCTGGGTTCTAACACTATCTTCGGACATTCATCGGACCCGACGTAAATAGGGAAAATCTGAGCACAATATCGCAAATTGAATCTTCAGCAAAAATACTTGAACATTGGGTATTTAATTTAAAAATGGTGTACATGATATTTATTCACAATTAGGTTAAAATATTACTGTGTAACGTCACACCCACGCAAGAAGCCTACAACGTTAATGGTACTGTAATGTTTGTGTCTAACAATTCTCACCTCTGTCTGTATTTTCAGACACGCCGCCGCCGGATATATCTTGTCAAGTATAGTTGCCAGCTATATTAAACCACTCCAAATCAGTATATTATACTACATTTAAATTAAGTGATGGTTAAGATCTAAACGTGTTAATTAATAATACCCCGATCACAATCTGGTTAAATATTTATTACTCCACCTAGACAAAATACTAACCCAGCATAAGCAAATTAAATATTAATAGTTCTCTGATGCTAGTTCCATTTAAATCACCCCTCAAATCTATTTAAACACAAGACTACAACCATGGGTGGGGTGTTGTTAAAAATTATAATAATTACAAAATGCAAGCTATTTGTTAGCCACCGCATACCACTCATAGTTGATAATATATTCATCACGATGCGTTTAGAAATCTCTGTCATAAAAAAAGATGGTGTAACTGATCTCCGATAAAATATTTTCAATTATAATAATTATACGATACGTCATAGTAAAATGTCAAGTGCTGCGAATGGGTATAAAATGGGTTCAAATGGGTGTATACCTGTATGTACAATACACATTATTTTTCGTTTCATTCTTATCTGATCCAGATCCAATTAATAAAATCACACGAAAAATCAGAGAATAATGTTTTCATTTATTAATTATAATATTGTGGCACAGAAATTACTATCAAATACACGCATTTGAATGGTATTAAGCAGTTTAGATAGAAAACCAGATGATTTGAGGAAGGCAATAATATTGGCTACCACATGTGAAGAAAACAAGAATTCATAGGATAGGTTATAAATCATGAGAGTTATATAATACAACCGTGTACACTTTACATCCCGAAAAGTTCAGAAAAGATATGTGGTTCTACGAGATGAATACTTGATGAACGAGATGAACTCCGCTAATTACTCGGAAAACAAACTAAGACAAACCAATAAAAATGTCAAGTTGCCTGTCGACTACAAATTTATAATGACTACAATATATTTGGGAAAGAAAACAATTTTATTAAGTGATATCACAACGGTTTATGAAACGTTTTTGAAAACAACAAAGTTGTTCGGACATGACGTGACTTTCGAGTGTATTATTATGAAATTCTGACTTGTTCACGACGCACGCCCACGCTACACGAAGAGTTGCAACAACGATAGGTACGTCATAAAATAATATATTTCGATGTGTTACATATCGGCCGTCGGTTGCCAGCTGTTCATTTTCGCGGTCGTCTCTTGAAAATATGTCCTCACTCCTGCATAGGGCCAGTCCCGAGTCCCATTCCAGTCCCGAGGATTGACCACAAATTATATACCTAGATATTATAACATTTATATACACACGTGTGTATGAGTTTCCGGACGTGAAATTACGAAACGTTTCGACCGACATTATTCGTTCGCTGGATGTCAAAACACGACAAAACCGCTGGGCGGCCGACGATGGTGATTACACATCGTGACCCGTATAGCAGCAGACGACGGGCAGGGAGTAAAACTCGATAATTGTAATAATAATAACAATAATATTGTAATTATAACTATTATTATTATTATCGTGATCACAGTAGTTGTCGTGGCAGTCATTGCTAACAAACTGAATTCGGAAAATTTGAGACAGTGGGACGTCGTGAAAAAAAAATCATGCGAAAAGGAATTATTTAATATGTTAAAAAAAAAAAAAAGAAAACTAGACATAATTGTTAAAAAACTATTATCAGTTTGAACTCGTTGTAATGAGTTTTTTTTATGTCTAAGAATATAATTATCTGCAAGACATGACGAGCTGCGTAAAACGAAAATCTAATTCCAAACTTTAAATAACAATCAAAGCCTTTTATTTAATATTATATTATTAATTTCATTACAGCTTTATCAAATTGCGTGATATTTTTTGAATAGGTTTATTTAATTACTATCGATTATATTTGAATACAACGTTATAACAGAAAGAGTGTTCATAAACCGTGTGAAAGTCAATTAAATAAGTGTTGGTAAAATCATTTAACTGTGAAATGTGGTTTAATTAAAACGACGCAAATATAATTATTATTGGTAAAGATTAATCGAAATTTTTACATCTCACACACGCGCGACATATTTTCTATTTACCCACCGTGTGGCATAATTCCACGTACATGTCCCCAGCCCCACATAAACAAAAATGTTGACATTTTTTTCAAGTCATCATATTTTAGCAGTCGATTAGCATTGATTTGCAAGATTATTTTTAATCATAAAACAAAAACATAAAAAACATGTGTCTCCAGCCATGTACGTCATAATTTTTTTGTCCTCTACATCGTATGCGTTATAAGTAAAATAATTAACAATATTGGATGCGTTTCAATAACGAAAAATGTGTATAATTTACAAAAAACATTTCGGCACAAGATATGACGGAAGGGGGCCGTGGATTCAACCCTGCAGGTGATTTTGAAATAATAGTACCTAACAATAATTACGCACGGAAAGTTCAACAGTCGTCCGTCCTACTTGTGTAATAGCTGTTTGGAGACGTTTTCCGCTATCAGTAGAACGCCGAGACTCGACAAACGCATATTATTATACCCACCCGTAATGTTTTTCTCGCCACGAATCGGGCTCAGGCACAGTAACGATATTATGTGCGTGCGCGTTTATATAGGGGCCTACCTTTTATCAGCGTTAAGCACACTCTCGTCCGCACTCGTCGCCCACCCTGCTCATAAATGCCTCGTGAACTGCACCCACCCAGCGGGCTCTGTATTAAATACATATTATTATTATTATTATTATTCGTCGAGTCTGTTCCGTTTGATTTAGACCGAAACGTAAAATGCTCGCACACACACACACACACACACACACACACACACACACACGAACTAACTGGCGTTTTGTCGTAGACCTCAAAAGAACTATACGTAACTGTTACCTATGTGGTATAAAATATCGTATCCGAATGATTATTATCTCGTAGTCACTGTATACTCACGTCATAGGTGCATCATAATTTAAGAGGGAAATATTATGTGCACATACATAATATAGTGTTCACCTAAATAATTGGTGTTGAGATGTTAAATAACGTTTACCAAAAATCTCAAAATGAGTTCCAAAGCTATAAATAAACTTACTTTATTGAGCCAATATTAATATTTTAGAAAATAAAATGAAAGTAGGTATAAAAAAGAAATGTAAATAAAAAAGTTCACGTCATTATCATGTACACATTTTAACATTATTTTTAACTTATTACTTTACTATGGGCTATAATAAATCGCTAATAATCAATACCTTTTAAGTAATTAAATTAGAAATAATAAAATTTTTTTTAATTAATCATTTATACGTTTGACGCTTTTGAAAAAAAAAAACAATCATTATTCACATTAAGCCAATTCAAACTATTTAACAATTGAGTAGACGGACGCAAATAACATAAGATCGGACATAAACAAATAAATTGATTTAGTTTTAATTATTTATTATACGAATCATTTTAATATTTTTGGAATATTTTGAAACGAGTGTAATTATAACTCTTAGTTTATAGCTCTCATGACGCAGAGGATATTTTTGTCCTCTCCCAATTTCAAATTTCTATCTCTACTACTTTACACGGTGTTATACATATAATAATGATACATATAATATGTTATACATATTATTTTACACGATAGGAGTTTGTGTGTGGGTGCACACGTGAACCTTGTATACTGCAATTCACATGGAGTTACGTGTCCCAGTGTTATTTAAAAGAGGGGTGGGTGTGACCCCCTTTTAATTTTTACGACCGGCGAGAAAACACGTACAACGCACAGAAATTTAAAAAAAAAAAACAAATTAAAAGGGTGTTGTTCGAGCCCAGAAAACCGTTAAATGATATGTGGGTAAACCACGTTCATATCCATATAATATATGTTTCTATGACATAGTGAAGACCAGCTTTTATATTCATCGACGGTACGAACATTGGAAGTAATATACGCCTGATTTGTATGATGTTTCAGCGAAAAATTTCATTTAAAAATTGTCAATGCTGTTTTCATATAATACATAGTATAAACAAAAAAATATTTTTGCATTAATATTATATAGTATGATATGATTTCGACTGTTATGTTTTTCTTATTGATTTTAAGTCATTATTATTACTCTATAAACCAAAAGTATACAATCGTCATTTCAAATAACTGTAACGTTTGTTCGCACTTGAGGTATACAGTGACGCCTCAAGTGACGATATAGCGAAAGATAAAATTCACATTAAGCATGTCATGGGTTTCAACTAGTTTTCCTTTCAACTACTTCTACATGAAGCGATACACGCCAAGTGGTAAACTAGTGTACGAGTGTAGTTCATGTCTCCCGAAAATCAATATGCCTACCAATGATTTAGTTCACTGCAGAGGGTCTCTCCCAACACGCCATACATAATCGTCGACAGTATCCTCTACACTTTGTAGATCGACCTCTGCGTATCCCTTACAATATCGTTTTTTCAGAGACTAATCAGATGGATTTTTTTTGTTCTAGGAACTCGCCAGAATAAGGCTCCCGATCAGCCCCGAGTCCATGCTGTCCGCCGTCGCCGTTGCTGCGACCTTCGACGACAGCTGTGCACCACCCGAGAAACTAGACGACACTGTACGCCGTCAACGTCGCCGAGGACGCCGACCTACCTCCACCGCCTCCAAAGCAGCACACGCCGCTCGCCAGTGCCGCCGTCGTCTGACGACGATCCGACCGAACCAGGTAGCCGGGCACAGATGAAACCGTCATCGCGGTTGCAACCGTCGTCTCCACCGTCGCCATCGACAGCCGCCTCCGGCTCGATCGTCGACCACGAACGGCTCGAAAAACACCTGGTCCAAGAGCACAGGGAGTCGTCACCGTCCTAGTTCACGTCGACCGCTCGACGGGGGGGTGGAGGGCTCTTCGATGTACGTGCGATCCGCCATTACCGCAGCAGCAGCAGTCGCCACTACCACCGCCACCGACCGCACTGACGACCGGCGTCGATTATGAAGAAACACAAACGCGAACACTTGGATTGCGGCTGACGACGATAACTGAACTGCGGTCCCGGGGACACACACACTCGCCACACACACACACATACCTCAGACCATACACATACACACACCCACACACATACCCGATCCACCCACACTCACACACTCAGACATATACACATGCCCACACAGGATACCACGAACGCAATCACTACGTAGCTGCAGCTGTACATCACAATTATACCGCTGTATGACAATAAGAATAAAAACGTCATCAAGCGCCTCTCACCCCTCGTCCACTCCAATTCGTTGTTCGAATTGCTCACACCTCTGTGTCATCGATACGTGATTTTTGTAGATAAATAATATTATTCCAATAATAATAATTATAATAATATACGGTCGATGTGATAATAATCTTATGTTTTTGTTCGAGACCGCGACGCGCAAATTGTGATCGTCCGATACCCGGCGATACCACGGTAACCGTCGTTTTCGTAATAACCGTCCGCGTCGTCGTGCGCGAGTTTCATTTTGTCCGCCAATATGGCCGAAACGACACACTCGAGCAAACATAGCTAACAGCCTACTTCTGGGTAACAAAGGTGCACCCATTATGCCAGGGGGCCGACGAGGTCTGGTCGCCCCTCAAAACACGTTCTTGGAAAACATCATCCGGAGATCGAGCTCCCAACGTAAGTACACACACGCACACCAATTTTGTTACTTATATTATATAATAATAATTATTATTGTATACCTATCGTAAGATGAGTTTAGGTATGAAAAATGTTATGATTTAAGATTTGTTGGATATTATTTAATGCGCATACATCATATCGTCGTAGTTATCAGGGGTTGGTAGGTCAATACATTTTTTTTTTTTTTTGAGTTAGTGAGATCGAATAAACTTATGACTTAGTAGTTAGCACACAATACATTTATGTCTAAAAAGAAAATTTAATACGAGGAAAAACTTTAACTCGAATCAGTCAAAATAAAGTTTGTTAATTTATTTTTTATTATTATCCCCTGGGTCATACTCACACGTCATATTATAGTGATTGTGTAATATTAAAATATTTTAAACAATAACTAAACATTTTAACGAAACTCCATCCTGCTATCTCATCTTGTTTGGACATTACATGTATGATTTTAGAGTTAGTCAATCACTATGGTTTAAACGAATTTTAATATTATATTATACTGCAGCGTAGTTATTAAAATATATGTATAAATATATATATGTATACATATACTAATATTAGTAAAAAATAAAAATTACGGTTATTATAGGGATAAGTGCGTGTTATCATAAACATGAATATATTTTAACTGATTGTTTAGCATATTAATAATTGTTGGGAGAAGTGAAGTTATTACAATGGGTCTGTATAGGTTGGTGAATTGAAAAAAAAAATAATAACTTTCAACTATTCAATGCCCATTTTTGATAACAAAATGTAGATAACCATGGAATCAACCCACTATTAATTTGGTGTTATCATCGGAGACTATCGATTTGTTCATTCCGTTACGATGGTTTCGGTCTATGATATACCTATGCCTTAGTATTTAATGTATTACGATAATAAATTGAAAACATAAGATCGAAAAACGTCTGGGGAAGGAAAATATCTTCCTTTATCAACGAAGACTTAGTATTGAACGAATTTTCGATTGACCGGCGTATTTACCCATAGACGTTTTCCATAAAGTTTCGTACCCGGAAAACGTTTCGATCGCCCACCCGACGAATACGGTTATAACAATATAATATGAATAATTTAATGTCATCATCGTCGGTTTAATTTCTCTGGCCGTATTAGAACGGTTATCCTGATTAAAATTGATAATATTATTATACACGTCATAGCTACGGGGACACACAACAATGTAATGTAACAGTTTTTTGTAAAAATAAACAAGTTTAACATTAATCCAAATAAATAATGATATAATGTTAAATATAAATTTAATTATTTTTGGTTAATTTACATAAATGACTCGCATAAAATATTTTTACATCATACTATGGTCATATCTCAAACGACTGGTATTCGAATATTTTATAACTTTAATTTTAATAGAAATTATTAATCAAACAAATAATCCTAACAATTCCACTCGAAATATATTTTGAAATTCGAAGTGTACAAGAACTGTTTATTATAGATTGCAGTTATTTGTAACGTTATTAACCATTATACAAGACGTGATGAGATCGATCTAGAAAAATACATTTTATATGAGATAAGCATTGTCGTAGATAAGTAGTAATAAATACTTAATTAGATATTTGTCTTACAGTGATAAATATATGGGTAATACTATAATTATAGGAATATAATTGGCTAAGCAATAATAATAGTCTGTTTCTACATTTTAATAAATCAACTATCATTCACTACTCACTGTCTGAACAAACTTTACCACCCATACACGATATAAAAATCCATAAATCGAATTGTTATACAATAGAATGTTGTGATTGTAAATCGGTTAGCATTGTCAAAAATTGAAGGTACTTTGGCATCGAAATGTGCTCTGATGTGTAATGGATAAACCAGATTACATTCGTCTCAAATAAACGAATAAAGATGATATACATAATGGAAGGACTACGTGAGATATTACCTTTCAAAGGTATCAGAACCATATACCTAACGCTATTTGAATCAATAATATCCTATGGCATAATTGGATGGGGTGGTGCCTATAACAATGTTCTTCTACTGCTGTAAAAATGAAAAAAACACTGTACTAGGGTTGCAAATAAAAAAAAATTGGAAATATCCAACCGAAAAACTATTCGAAGACTTCAATGTCCTAGACATAGAGCTTTTGTACCTAAAAACAACCACCAGATATCTGAAAAAACATAATTAGTTGAATTTTATAAACCACGGAGTTAAAGCCAAATATGCAGCTGTTAGTTTTCTTTAGACTAGCCCACAAAAACTAGCTGTCAAAAAGTTTTCTATTTTCTGGGGACGCAGATACTTAACTTAATGCCCAGTGATATGGGTTTCGTGCAGATACCAATTTAAAAAAAAAATTTCTCTCTTTCTTCGATATGAATATGATGTGTCTAAAACTTGTACGTAACATATTAAACAACGCTGTTACTGAAATTATTTATGTAATTCATAATGAAAAACTACTTATTTATCTTTATATAAAAATGCAATTTATGCCTATATCAATAAGAATTATTAGTAAACTAAAATAACTCTGGGTTTCCACAAGAATTTTTCTTAGTAAGGCCCAGTAATCATTCGATATTAAATAAAAAAATTAAAATAAAAAATACTGTAACAATATTATTTACGGTAGACGTTTGAAATATCAAAACAATCGAAAACAATAATATTATTATCATAATCATAAAATTATAAAATATCGTAAGTACCGACGCTGGGTGTGTACCTCAAATTTCGAAATAATTCCTCTCATAACATTTATGCTGTTTATGAATAGTTAGCTTATATTTAATTTAAGTAAATGTTGTTAGTAGCTATGATGATATTTTTCATTTTAAGGGTATACAGGGAATCATTATTTATTACACCCATTACCCTCGATAAATATTCTTTAACAACTTTTATATGATAATGATTTATAGTAAATATTCCATAGTTTACTTTATAACTAATAAACAATTAATCAAAAATATATTATCAACAAAAAATAACATAAGCAATTAAAATGTATTAATAATAATGAGGCGTATTTATTACTTATTATATATTTATAATACATTTATGTCAATAATTAAAAAAATCACTTTTTAAGTATGAACTATTCATATACTTCAATAATAGCGCATGGATATCATATTCATTCAATACCCATAAATCTAGTGACTTAAATCTTGAGTTGGGATGTGAAATAACCAAACCATGATGTCATTGAATTCCAAAAATAGATGACAGTCGAACAAAATAGTATTCATTAATGTTATCAGTCCCGAGGTATATTATAACAATACAAACATAAAGATTTCACTGAGTAGAAAAGCTCAACTGATAAAATTGCATTATCTTATCACTTGGGACTTAATAAACACAAACACACTGACTGGGGGTTAATAAATTAATGTGTCGCATTGAACTAAGCCTTGATTAAATACCTATGTGATTACCGAGGGGTATGTAGTGGATCAAAATTTGCTCATTGTGTAATTCGTGATAATGAGACCAACTGAAAAATAGGGGAGGCGGGGTGTTTCGACTCCAACAGGTTATCCATTGAAATATTATCCTCCTGCATATTATACGTCATGATAATATTATATTTGGTATGTGAGTGTAGCAAACAACCGGCAACCAGTCACACATTCACATTTTCCAATCATTAGTAATCTCAACGCTTGTTCCCACCGTGGCAATTACGGTATTTCCGGCATTTACCACAACCAACCCGAGTTCAGATATTGTGTACCATCGAAAAACTTCTTCAAGAGTGTGCAGATAGATATAATTGTAATAACTTCATTTCTTCTAATTATCAAATTAAACAAAAATTAAATTAAGAAATGCGTATTTAATATTTATCCAGTGTCCGTGCATTTTTCGATGATATCCAGTGTCCGTGCATTTTTCGATGAGTTACGATGTTTCAACTAGTTGTTGAAATATTTTTATCATTTTTTTATTTTTTATGGCTAAATATTTCATAATAATATAGCGTATTTGAATACACGAGTTGATCTTATAATTGTTTTTTTTTCAATTAATCGAATTTGATTCATATTATATTATGCTTAAGCAAATTCAAACAGTTAGTATTTAAATTATTTTACAGCCCTACAACGTTATAATGTGGCTTGGTGAGGAGCGGTCATACGCTCAATCTGCGGCAACGCTTTGAGTGTACGTACCGGCCGTCGTTGCTAGCATTCGGATGGGTGACCATCCGGGTTTTTAGCAACACATCCTTGCCTCATATACAAACGTGTTCCAACCAACCGTCCCTACCCCACACAGTACCATGCTAATGACCTAAGTAGCTGAAACCTTAATCCAAAAAAAAAAAAAAAACGTTATAATATCGGTGTTTTTTTTTATCGACATTTGAACGTTATAAAAAATTATTGTTTTTAGTCAGAATTTTTTTTTAAATTTATTATTGTTATGTTTTTGTGTAATTAGTTATTATTACTAATATTACCAACTAGTATCTCATTACCACTAATAATATTATCGGCCATATCGACAATTTCATACAATATTGTGTAGTCTGTTTTTTTGCGACATGACAATATCGAAAATGCACAAATTTTTTATTTCTTATTAATGCTAGTCACGGCACATTTTTTAAATATCTTTAACTTGAGCAAAATAAAAATAGATTTGGAATAAATTGTTGTTTTAAAAATAATAGGTCCTACTTTTTCCAAAATATTTATGGCACTAGCAAGTGTACTTACAAATAAGCCATTGGACACTACTAAATGCTTATTTGATATTATTTTTCATTATGTTACTATAATTAAATTATTATTTTTTATACTTATCGCTTACAACTGTGACTACATGTTGTATGCTTAATGATATATTATCATTAAAAAAACACACATAATAATGCATCTTCACTTCAGTTTCAAGTAAAATAAAGTATGACAACTCTGAAGGTATTTAAAATATTATGAAGGTATATTTTTAATTAGCAACATACGAGTATACAACTT